CATTGAGAAGATAAGCAATTTGATATAGGGTTATATATGTGTAGTCATGCAAAACATTTCTGTAATAGTCATGTTGTATAAGACTAATTATATTGCCCTCCACCCTATCCGACTCCCCAATTTTTCTGTTCTCTCCTTTGACCCTATCCCTCCTCAAAAATATTTGCTTCTGATTACTTCCTCCCTAATCTGCCCTCCCTTCTATCATCCCCTCTCTTTTATCCCCTTTCCCCCTATTATGCTATAGGGTTAGATTTCTGTACCCAATTGAATGAGTATGTTATTCTCTCCTTAAGCCAAATCCAAAGAGAGTAAGATTCACTCATTCCCTCTCACCTCCCACCTCTTACCCTTCACTGTGAAAGCTTTTTCTTGCCTTTCATATGAGATAATTTATGCCATTCTACCTCTCCCTTTCTCCTTCTCCCATTACAATCCTCTCTCACCCCTTAATTTTATTTTTTTAGATGTCATATTCATATTCATATTCAACTCATCTTGTGTCCTCTGTCTACACACACACACACACACACACACACGCACGCATGCACACATATACACATATACATACATACATAGAGATAGAGATAGAGACAGAGACAGAGACAGAGATAGAGATAGAGATAGAGATAGAGATAGAGATAGAGATAGATAGATATTTTCCCTCCAACTACCCTAATACTGAGAAAGGTCTCATGAGTTACAAATATCATCTTTCCATGTAAGAATGTAAACAGTTCAACTTTAATAAGTCCCTTATGATTTCTCTTTCCTGTTTGCCTTTTCATGATTCTCTTGAGTCTTGTATTTGAAAGTCAAATTTTCTATTCAGCTCTGGTCTTTTCATCAAGAATGCCTAAAAGTCCTCTATTTCATTGAATGTCCATTTTCCCCCTGAAGGATTATACTCAGTTTTGCTGGGTAGGCAATTCTTGGTTTTAATCTTAGCTCTTTTGACCTCCTGAATATCATATTCCCAGACATCTGATCCCTTAATGTAGAAGCTGCTAAATCTTGTGTTATCCTGATTGTGTTTGTACAATACTTGAATTGCTTCTTTCTGGCTGCTTGCAATATTTTCTCCTTGACCTGGGAACTCTGGAATTTGGCTGTAATATTCCTAGGAGTTTTCCTTTTGGGATCTCTTTAAAGATGGATTCTTTCAATTTCTATTTTACCCTCTAATTCTAGACTATCACAGCAGTTTTCCTTGATTACTTCTTGAAATATGATGTCTAGGTCTTTTTTTTTGATCATGGTTTTCAGGTAGTCCAATAATTATTAAATTATCTCTCCCGGATCTATTTTCCAGATCAGTTTTTTTTTTAAATGAGATATTTCACATTATTTTCTATTTTTTTTCATTCTTTTGGTTTTGTTTTATAATTTCTTGATTTCTCATAGAATCATTAGCTTCAATTTGCTCTATTAAAATTTTTAAGGAATTTTTTTCTTTAGTGAGCTTTTGTACCTCCTTTTCCATTTGACCAATTCTGCTTTTTAAGGCATTCTTCTCCTCCTTGGCTTTTTGGACCTCTTTTACTATTTAGGTTAGTCTATTTTTTAAGGTGTTATTTTATTCAGTATTCTTTTGGTCTCCTTTAGCAAGCTGTTGACTTGTTTTCATGATTTTCTTGCATCACTCTCATTTCTCTTCCCAATTTTTCCTCTACTTCTCTTACTTGATTTTCAAAATCCTTTTTGAGGTCTTCCATGGCCTGAGACCAATTCAAATTTTTCTTGTAGGCTTTGGATGTGGGAGCTTTGACTTTGTTGTCTTCTTTCGGTTGTATATTTTGATCTTCTTTTTCTCCAAAGTAAGATTCTATACTCTGAGTTTTTCCCACTGTTTGTTCATGTTCCCAACCAATTGCTTGACTTTTTAATTCTTTGTTAAGGTAGGGCTCTGCTTCCAGTGTGGAGGGCGTATTGTCTGAAGCTGTAGGGGTTTTGTGCAGCTGTTTTCAGAGATACTTCTAGGGACTTGTAAATTTTCAGTTCTTCCAAGCTGATATAATCAAAGGAGAGGTGTTTACTCTTTTCCTGGCCTGTGCTCTGGTCTATGAGTGACCAGAAGCACTCTTTTCTGCCTTGGAACTGTAAGGAGGATTTCTCCTCCATTGCTGCCACAAGCTCCAACACCCCAGTGCTCCTCCTCCCCCCAGGACCACCACCCAGGACTGTGACCCAGATCCAAGCACAGGCAAAGCAAGAGAATCCTGCCTCAGCCCCAGTAATGAGGTCCCTACCATCCCCCTCTGATCAGCCACTTGATCCTCACACCATCTGTGGGCCAAGAGCTCCAAAAGCAACCACAGCTGCTGTGGCCACCCTGGGGCTGTGCTAGGGCAAGGGCTGGTCCATGCTCCTCTCTCTCCCAGGTCCAACAGATCTTTCCCACTGACCTTCTAAGTTGTCTTTGGTGGTTGTGGTTTGAGAAGTCTGGAAACCACAACAGCTGCCCATGATTCAGTCTTGTGAGGACTGCTCCAGTTTTGCTCTAGCCCCATCTTTGTCTGAGTGGCTCATGCTGTACTGCGCTCCTGTCCCAGCCTGATGCAATGGACTTTTCCTATTAACCGTCCAAGTTATCTTGAGATGGAAATTTGTTTCACTCTGTCTTTTTGTGGGTTCTGCTGCTCTAGAATTTGTTTAGTGTCATTTTTTACAGGTATTTGGAGGTGGTTTGGGAGAGAACTCAAGCAAGTCACTGCTTTTACTCTACTATCTTGGCTCTGTCACCCCCCCATACTTTTTTTTTTTTTTGGTGAGGCAGTTAGGATTAAATGACTTGTCCAGGGTCACATGGCTATTAAGTTTCAAGTGTCTGAGGCCATATTTGAACTCAGGTCCTCCTGACTCTGAGGCCAGAGGTCTATCTACTGCTTCACCTAGCTGCCCCACCAATTGTACTTTTTAAGGAGTTTTTTTCTTTAGTGGATTTTTCTGTCTCCTTTTCTATTTGGCCAGTTCTACTTTCTAAGTAGTTGTTTTCTTTTTCCAAGCTGTTGACTTTTTTTTTTTCATAATTCTCATTGTATCACTCTCATCTCTTTTCCCAATTTTTCTTCTACCTCTCTTATATGATTTTAAGCTACTTTTTGAGCTTTTCTGTGAATTCCTTCTGAGCTTGAGACCACTTCTCATTTTTCTTTGGGGTTTTGTCCATACATGTTTTGACCCTGTTGTCATCTTCTATGTTTGTGTCTTGATCTTCCCTGTCACCATAATAACTTTCTATGGTCAGATTCTTTTTTGTTGTTGTTTTTTGCTCATCTTTTTTGGTCTTTTTTCTTTCTTTCAAATTTGGCCTCTGCTCCCAGCATGAAAGAGGCATTGTCTCAGACTTCTCATGCCAGGGGCTGCTGGCCCTGGCTGTTTATCTGGTGCTGCATTGATGTTGCCTTGAGGCCCATGGGCAACCCTCATGTCTGGTGCTGGGCTGAGGGGGTGCGGTGGGGGTGGCTGGTGCTGCCGGAGGCTGTAGGGGTCTGGCAGCTTACCTGGTGCTGAGCTGGGGTCCTAGGGCTAGTGTCTGGTGTGTGCTGAGGCCGGTGGGTGTTTCTGCTTTTCCCCAGGGCTACACTGAAGCACATGGTGGTTCTTGGAGCTAAAGTCTGCCCATTTCCCATGGGTATGCTGAGGCATGTGGCAGGTCCTGGTGTTGGCATTTGCCTGCTCCACCACACTGGGCTCAGCATCTCCCGTTGGCTTGCTGAGGTGGGGCTTGTTGCCCACCTGTTGAGTTGCTTCCTGTCATGGACTGTGCTCCCTTTTTACCCAAATGAGACAGACCTTTCTTGCCACCCTTACAAGTTTCCCGGGCTAAGAGATTCTTTCACCCCTGGTTCTGTTATTCCAGGATTGGTTTGGGGGTACTATTTTATGGTTGTTTGGAGGTGAATATGGAGAGGTAAGGTGATTTACTGCTTCCTCTGCTATTTTGGCTTCTGGACGTCCCTCTCCAATCCCTATTTTTCTTTGATGCTTTGGATTCAAGAATTTCAACTTTGTTGTCTTTTTCTGAGTGTGTGTCTGGTCCTCCTTGTCACCATAGTAACTTTCTGTGGTCAGAATCTTTTTCTGTTGTTTGCTCATTTCCTGCCTATTTCCTGACTTTTAACTCTATGCTAAAGTGGGGCTCTGCTTCCCAAGTCGAGGGGACCTGTCCCAAGCTTCAGGTTTTTTTGTGTAGCTGTTTTGAGGTGTAATTCTGGGGACCTGTAAGTTTTTGTCTCTTTCACGGTGGTATGATCTAGGGAGAGGTGCGTTTACTACTCTCCTATACTGTGTAGTGCTTTGTGAGCAGCCACAAATACTCTTTTCAACTGTGGAACTGTGACCAGGGTCCCTGCTCCCCTGCTGCCACAAGCAAGCCCTGTTGTGCTAGTGCTCCTCTTTGCACTGGGACTGAGAGCTATATCTGCAACCCAGATCCAAGTATAGGCAATGCAACAGAGTCCTGCCACTGGTGCCAGCGAAGGGACCCCTGTAAATCTCCTTCTGACCTGTTGTCCAATGCCCTTACCATCTGTGGGCTAAGAGGTCTGGAAACCACCACTGGTGCCACTGATTCAGTTACCTTGAGGCCTGCTCCTGGTCTGTTGGGGCCTGGTCTGCACTGGTGTGGTCTATGCTGAACTGTGATCCTTTCTCACTCTGGTGCAACAGACCTTTCCTGCCAAACTTCCAAGTTGTCTTGGGCTGGAAAATTGTTTCACTCCAGATTTTTGTGTGTTCTGCTGCTCTAGAGTTTGTTTAGAGTCTTTATTTAAAAATATTTAGAGGGGTTTGGGGGAGAGTTCAGGTAAGTCCCTGTCTCCACTCTGCCATCTTGGCTCTACTTCCTGGGCATTGTCATCTTAACTACCTATGTGCCCAACATTGCACCCTTAGGGTTTCTGGGCCTTTCTCTCTGCCCTGCAGTTTTTTGTATATTGTTTGCTTTATGTGTTGGTTTGTAGGATTTATGAGGTCCTTTTATGTATTGTTTCTCCCAGTTAAACTGTGAACTTCTGGAGAGCAGACCCTGTCTTGATTTTCTATCTGTATCCTCAGAGCTTGACACAAAGTAAGTGTTTAATAAAATGTTCATTTATTTATTTATTCATTCACAGTGTAAGGTCACACAGTAAATTATATGGCAGACCCCCAAATTTCCATCCCAGGATCCCTTACTCTGTACCACACTCCTATCCAAACACAGTACAGATATTGGTATCTGAGGCCAAGGCTAATGCTACACATAAAAGGAGGCCCAGCTTTTCACCTCTCCTTAGGACTAACAGATAGCACTGGAGCTTCAGGGGAGTTTTTGATGGTTTTCTTTGTTTGTATTTTTTTAAGTTTTCAATTTAAGTCTCAATTTCCTTCCTAATGGTGCAATTAGAATCACCGAGCTTCAGTGAAAATTGGAACATGTCTTGTTAGACACAATGGGAAACAAACATAGGTAAGAGAAAGAGAGAGAGAGAGACAGGATGACATATAATTGTTTGAGTCAAACAGCACTAAACTAAATGAAATTGTTCCTTAGGAGGGTATGTGGCACTGAGCCCAAAGAAGGGCATAGACCCATGGGCAGGGGGAAGCTCTGTCTAAATTATTGGTATATGGATAATAGGAACAAAGGCCTTCCATTACAAAATCACAGGATATTAGAGTTAGTGTGTGGGTGTGCGCATGGGGACTCAGTCCATTTAGTGCTACTGATACTTCAGAATTCCATCTACAAATACCTAACAGGAGATGATCCAGCCTTTGACTGGGGATATCTGTTGTTGTTCAATTGTCAGTCATGTTTGACTTTTCATGACCCCATGTGGAGTTTTATTGGCAAAGATACTGAAGTGGTTTGCCTTTCCTTCTCCAGCTCATTTTACAGATGAGGAAACTGAGGCAAATAGAGTTAAGTGACTTGTCCAGGGTCACACAGCTAGTAAGTGTCTGAGGCTGGATTTGAACTCAGATCCTCCTGACTCTAGACTTGGCACTGTGCCTTGCAGCTATCCTGAGGATATCTAGGAAGAGAGAAACTGCCACCTCCTAAGAGGGATCATTCCACTTAGCAGCTCACTGTAAATGCAATGGATAGCTCTAATGATTTGGCATTTTTCCATTCATCAAGCTTATATGCACCTGTTTGCTATTTCTACTCACTGCTTCTAGTTCTGCCCTCCGGGGTCAATGGAATAAAACTAATTCCTTTCCCATATCACAGGGTCTTCATCTGGCATGACATCAAAGCCCTTTACCATAATGGTCACCCCACATGACCCTAGTTCCCCTTTCCTGGATGCTCACCAGTTTATTAATGTCCTTTCTGAATGTGATGCTCAGGAAAAAACACAAGATGCCACTGTGGTATGACCGGGCAGAGTACAGTAGGACGGCCACCTTTCTAGAGCTGCACCCAATGCTTCACTTAATGTACCATGAGATTGTATTAGCTTTTTTTTGGCTGCCATAGCATACTCTTGCTCTTCATTAGGTAGGTTAGGGCAACCTGATGCTGTTCTCAATGCTCAAGGGAAACCATGATTGCAAATTTATAGAAAACAGAGTTTCAAAAGCAGGGACTGTGTCTCCTTTTTGCAAAACATCTTAAAAGTTCCTGAGGTTAGCTGAAATCAACAGTGGCAGTCTCAGATCCCTAGGGTCTACCATCGTCTCCTCCTGACATGACCCCATATATTGCTAGGCTGGCTGGCTCAGCCACCAGAACACGGTAATATCATTTAGTTTCTGTCCAATATCTTCACCAGCGCCTGGCTTTAATAAATCTTCAAAATATATTTCAATCAAATGACTTAGAAGCCATCAGAGAAAATGAGATGCTTGCAAAATTTGGCCTCCACTTGAATCCTGAGAAAAGAGTAAGAGTCTTCAGAGGATTGATGAGGAAAATGCCTGGAATGACTGCTACTCTCTTCACAGAGGGGTGGTGAAAGCATGCATGGCCACGTTTAGGTAGCTTCCTGAGCAGGAAGCAACCTCCTCCTCCCCCCATATTCCCACATTGCTATGACTCTTGGCACTCATTCAGATAGCAAAAAAATTGATTTCCCTGCCTCCATTCTCTCCTCTTTAATTTGGGAGTCCTATCAAGGCTGACTTACTATTCATTATGCATAGATCTGATCTTGTCAAAAAGCTTCATTGGCTCCATTTTTTACTATTTTATCGTATAAGTTCTTTTGTCTGGTTCCCTAGGTCTTTCATCTCCTGGTCCTACCCCCCGTTTGATCAGAATTACCTCCTAACATGTCCTCTCTTCATGGTCTTCTGAATTCCTTCATGACATTTCCCTCAACTCTCATTTTCTGGGAAATCTTCCCCTATTCTCCTGACTATACAAATGCCGTCTCCCATATGTATCTCTTATTATGCCGTCTTCCTCCTCCATCAAACACAATCAATCAGCAAGCACTTATGAAGGAGTTCCTATGTTATAGGTATCATTCTAGATACCAGGGATACTAAGACAAAAACCAAACTGCCAGTTCCTGCCCTTAGGGAGCTTACATCCTATTGGATTCTGCCTAGCAAGCTCTCTGTCTTTATCATTATTTCTAGAATGCCCTTAGACCCTGCTTGTCTTGCTGACCTATCATTTAGATTTTGATCAAATGCAGCATCCTTTATGAAGTATCCTGAGTGCTTAGCATAGTGCCTTGCACGTTGTATGCCTGTTGTCTGACTGATTGATCCTTCTGACAGAACTTTGCATAATACTCAGGTTAACAGCAACTTAGCAGCTAGGTGGGCAGCAAATAGAGTGGTGAACCTGGAGTCAGGAAGACCTGAGTTCAAATCCAGCCTCAGACACTTACTAGCTGTGTGACCCTGGGCAAGTCACTTAACCCTGTTTCCCTCAGTTTCCTCATCTATAAAATGAGCTGGAGAAGGAAAGGCAAACCATTCCAGTATCTTTGCCAAGAAAATCCCAACTGGGGTCGCAAAGAGTCAAACGTGACTGAAACAACTGAAAAACATGAATTTAGAGCTGGAGGGAATCTTTTAGGTCAGGTAGTCCAACTCTCCTCCTCCCCTCCCCCATTTACATATCTAAAAACTGAGCCCCAAAGAAGTTGAGACTTGCCCAAGAACATATAGTTAGTTAGAAAATCAAGATCAGAATTAGAACACAGGCCCACTGACTCAAAACCATTTATACCTGAACAGTGAGAAGATGCTATCATGGGGAATAGGGAGTTGACTTTTTGTTCCTTGCTCCAGGGGATGAAACTAGTAGCAATGAATGGAAATTAGAGGTAGGCAGATTTTCAGCTCAATGTAAATAAAATCTCACTAACTTGGGAAGGTTAGGTTAACAAATTGTGTTCAAATGTGAAGGTTACTTTCACAAATTAGATCCATCTAAAAGAGCAATAGTCTGCCTCAGGAAGTATTTGGCTTTTCCTCTGTCACTGGAGGTTTTAAGTGAAAGCAGGCTGACCCTTTTCTGAGCAAGTTGTAAGAAGGAATTCTTGTTTAGGTGAGGGTAGGACCTGTGACCTTTGAGGGCCAGTCCAACCCCGAGATTCTGTGAATGACCAGATAAGATTGTAATGCAGAACATTATTTTGCCATTTAGGTAGTAGGGTCCTTTAAGCCATGGAAAGCAAAAGTTGGTACTTAATCTTGCCCCTGACCTCTTTCCTCCTAAATCTAAACAATAGTGAAATGTACTCTTGCATAGCTCAGCATAGCCCGTACCTCCAACACAAATGGATAAGAAAGCTTGCAATATAATTGCTTCAGATAATTATGTTTATACCAGAGACCAGTACACCCGGTCTGGTTTGTGTGATCTCTGATCCGTAATAATGGGGTGCTTGGGTGCTTGTGCTTGTACTTGTGCCCCAATTTCTCCCTAGTCTCAGAAACACTGTCTCTAACAACCATTCCCCAGCCCAAGGACACTGTGCCTAGCAGTTATTCATGCATGGGCCTCAGCATGACCCTTATCTCTCTCCCTGGTACAGCTACACAGAGCTGGGCTGCTCAGGCCCCAGCCCTCAGATCATGTCTCTGGAAGCCTCCCAATTCCTTAGTTGTGAGAAAGCTTTCCTTTGTTGCAGAGCATTCTCATGTCAAGACAGAGGGAGAGGGGTGTCCTTGACCAGCCCAAGAACTCTTCCTCTGGCCAGACTTCAAAGATCCATCCCCCTCCCTGTCCTGTATACTCCCTGTACTTTCCCATCCATAGCCCCCCAAAACACCTGCATCTTTGGATTACCTCATCAGTGTTTCTCTCATTTCTTTCCCATGCTCTTTTCTATATAAACCCTAGCTCGACCCCTGATGGAGGCTGCTTGATTTGGATGTGCATACCCCTTGCAGCCGCGCGCTAATAAAGTCAACATCTTAAATCACATCTGGGTCTCACTCGCTGATTTCTTGGTACAACAAGATGACATATGTTGTGTCACAGTCCCTCTCCCCAGGCTCCTTCATTGAAGTATAAGCTTCTTAATTTTTTTTTATTTTTTATTTTTTTAGGCAGTTGGGATTAAGTGACTTGCCCAGAGTCACACAGCTAGTAAGTGTCAAGTGTTTGGTCTGAGGCTACATTTGAACTCAGATCCTCCTGACTTCAGGGCCAGTGCTCTATCCACTGCACCACCTAGATGCCCCTGAAGTGTAAGCTTCTTAAAACCACCAACTTTCTTCTTTAACTGAACCAGTATTTATTAAGCACCTATGTGACAGGCACCGTGCTAAGCACTGAAGATACAAAATAAAAAATATTCCCTGGTCTCAAGGAGCTCACAGTCTAATTAAGAGAGTCCACTAGACAATGATATGCATGCAAAATGTATATTGGATAAATTGGATGTGGCCAACAGAGGGAAGATTAAGAAGGACCAGGAAAAACTTATTACAGAAGGTGGGACTTTTGCTGAGACCTTTAAGGAAGCCAAGAGGTAGAGACAAGGACAGGGAGAATTCCAGGTATGAAGGAGGGCCAGTAAAACTGTGTAGAATCAAGAGGTGAAATGTCACATGCCCAAGGAACAGAAAGGAGGCCAGTGTCACTGGATCATGGGCTGAGCAAAGTTTTCTGTA